AAAGCCTGACAATACCTAACAGTTTTGTTTATATGACTAGATATGTATAAAATTAACAATAAAATGAGAATAATACATAAAGCTGGAACTGGAAGGCGAGATACCTGGTCCTTTCCCCCGCTTTTTCCTTGGGGAGTGACAGAGGAGAGGCAAGCAGGGACAGAAGGCTTGTTTATCTAATAAGTGCCCTCAGTGGAATATCTACCTGCTGACACGACGCACAAATATCACAACGATAATCTAGGCGTTTCTTATGGAATGGTTTTCAAATATTAATTTAAAAAAAACTGCACAGGTAAAAAAAACTGAGATAAAAAAAAACGACTTTGCTAACTGTTTATTCAAAAAAATCGATTCGGTCACGTGTGACATAACGGCGTGGCATGTGATTTGCTCTAAAATGTGCATATAAAAGTATGTAGCACATATTACTTTTTATTAGTTTTTTCTTAAATAGGTTGTATTAATAATAATATTTATTGTAATTTATTTATTTTAATTTAATTTATTTATTGTAATTTTATGAGTCCCACCGTTATAAAGTTGGTATGACGTTGGTTGGATGTTGGATATTCGACAAATATTCAGCCACGAAAATTTTCACTAGATTCTTAGTGAATAATTATAATTGTAAAAAAGTGCTTTACTTGAAAAGTATTATAACATAGAACTGAACACAAAGTGTAGCAATGCATTTTAGCTCTAGCAGTGACTCATTTGCGCTTAGGCCAGATAGGGACCGTCTACAAAGTACATGTGGAAGAAAAAAAAAAAAAAAGATTAGATTTCCCATCTGATTTTTTTCAATTAAAAGGAATTTGGTGAAGACACACACACAAACACTGCTCACTTACAGAATAATCCATTTAAATAAGTTATACTGTACACAAAATATGTCATTATTATTATTATAGCCTATTATTGCTACTAAATTTTAGGGATGCACCGATACCACTTTATCCAGTACTCGCCCGATACCGATACTTTTATTTTTGGTACTTGCCGATACCGAGTACCGATACCGATATTTTTATTGCATTTGTACATTTTTTCAATATTGGGTACAGAAACCAAGAGTATGTATAATGTTAGTTGGTTAACTTCATTTATCAAATAGAAATTATTCAGACAGCTGTTAGTATGACAGTATTTACACAACTATCAATACTTAGTCGGCCAGCCCTTAGCCTTAATGACAGTCTGTAGTCTACTGGGCATTCTGTCACCCAGCTTCATGCAAACCTCAACTTCAATTGTGTTCCCAGATTCGGTCTGAATAATTTTTAGACCCAAATTTGTATCACGTAGTAGACATCCTTAACTCCTTTCTGCTGTCTGTTGTTCTGTTGTCGGTGTTTCTTTGTTTGAATATGGCGCTTAACACATGCTGTGTGGTATCGGCGTTTGGTATCGGGGCATTTTTACGAGTACGAGTACAGGAGACCAGTATCGGGCCCGATACCGATACCAGTATCGGTATCGGTGCATCCCTACTACTAATACAATCTTTTCATAATTTAAAAAATAATCTTGAATCTAAAGGACGCAGTAGGCCTCTTCCTATGGCAAAAAAAAGGATGTTTTTAAAAAAGGATGTTATTAAAAGTTAAACCATTATATAAAATAATTGAACGCCGTATGGTGTCTTACTGGTTCATAGGGAGTGTCTTTCTATAAAAAACATTTTGATAGTGGTTTTTGTCTTGTTACAATTCCTAATACAAGGCAAGTAACCTTTATTTCTTCAATTATGAAACAAGTGCAAATTCAGCTGTAAAGCAGCTCTAAAAAGATAATAGAGTCATTATTTACTGTAAATCAATTTCTTTCAATGTTAATTTAATGTTCAATAACAGTGTAATGTTGCAAAGTTCATCAGTTGGGAAACATGCTTAATTCAACAATAAAGCAGCATAAAGGACAACTGTGTCATCATTCTGCTCAGTTTTGAAATACGTACATTGAATAATACTGCAAAGTTAATCAATTACCAAGCTTAATTCAGCTGTAAGTAGCTCTACAGAGTTCATCAATTATGAAACAAATCTGAATAAGCTATTATGCACCTTTACTGATATGCTAAGCTAAATATAAGAATCTTTTAAACTCCAGCCAAGCAAGCCCAAGGTAACAGTGGCACTGAAAAAAAGATGTTTTGATGTTGTTTTTAATGGTAAAGTCAACAAACTTATTCAAAATAAGTTATAATCACTTACTTTTATTAGTAAGATCATCAGTTACATTTTACAGTGTGGGTGGAAAAAAGAGAGAGTTTTTCTCTCGCAAAACTTTTGCACTCTCCCGAGAAACTTTGCGTTCGCTCACAAAACTTTTGCGCCCCCTCGCAAAGATGTTTGCATTCTCTAGCAAAACCAGTGCAGTGGTTCATTCAGCTCCATACATTCACAATGTAGTGGTACGTAGAGTTTTATTTTGAACTTGGACTCAAGTATAAAGAAATACAGTCAGTTCTTAGTTTCAAGGCACCATTTTGGAACATTCTGAAATGCTTAATGTGGCTTAATGTACTAAAACAGTAACATTGGAGGACCAAATTCAGTATTATTATTAATACTAATAACACTATTAATATTAATAACCTTATTAATAATTTTACTATTAATTGAATTCTATTTACAGACAAGCAGTACAGCCTGGAATATGAACGCAATGTGCTAATGCACGTTAAAGGGTTGTTGATTATGATTTAACTTTTTTAACTTTAGTTAGTGTGTAATGCTGCTGTTAGAGCATAAACAATGTCTGCAAAGTTATGACGCTCAAAGTTCAATGCAAATGAGATATTTTCTTTTAAAGAAATTGCTGTTTAAGGACTACAAAAAAAGGCTGGTAGGGACTACAACGAGCTTCTTAGAACCAGGAACTCAACAGACTGTTTTGACGAGAACAGAAACAGCAGTGTAGAATAAAGGTAAAATATGTGAAACAAACACTTTTTTCTTTAAATCGAAGCATGAACATGTGACACTGCACCCCATAAACACAATCAAGCCTTCGAAAAAAGCTGATCAACCACATCTTTAAAGGGGTCATATGATGCGATTTCAAGTTTTCCTTTCTCTTTGGAGTGTTACAAGCTCTTGGTGCATAAAGAAGATCTGTAAAGTTGGCGCGAGAGAGCACATACCAGCTTCATCACTGTGTCTGTCATGCGACTCTGTTGCCCTTTTGGGCTTGAACTGATGGTAAAACTAACGACATTATTAACTGTCTTGATATTTACTTTGAAAGCTGAAAGCGATTATAGTATGGGGCGTTACATTTCCGAAGCGTGCTTGTGGTGTTCGGCCAATCACAATGCACTGGGTCAGCTGGCCAATCAGAGCAGACTGCGCTTGTCAAAGGAGGGGACTTTGTTGAAAACGATGTGTTTGAGAGAGGCGGGGCATAGAGGACCTACAATCATGTACAGTATTTGAAAAATAATGTGTTTTTTGAACATTAAAGCATGTCAACATATTCTGTTACACCAAATACACAAAATAATGATCTTTAAAATAGCATCATATGACCCCTTTAAGCTTTTTCTCCCCCATAGAAAACCGTTATAAAGAAAACGCTTAAGGTAGGTCAATGGATGAAGTACGTTGATATAAAAAGACCAAATCTGGTATACAGTTTATTAATAAAAGGCACAGGAAAGCAGATGAGCACTCTTTATTAGGCTTTGCGAGATTTTTCGCAATTGTTGCTTTCAATAACACGTTTTGTGCTATAGTTTTGTGAATAAAACAAACATAAAAATGTTTCTTTTAGGAACCAGTAACAACACACAGCATTTAAAGTTGAGTTAGAACACTAATTTGATTTCAATTAATTTATGTATTTCTTTGAAGATCAATAGCATGCCTTGTGCTATAGTTCTGTGAATAAATCCAACCTTAAAATGTTGTTCTATATTCGAAAAATTAGTATATGTATTTTATACAAATTTATTAGCACATCTCAATATCATTGTTTTTGCATCGCTTATGATAGTAAAACCAACTGAAAGCAGTTTTTTAGGACCTAGTAATAGAACACACTATTTGAATTTGGGATTGAATTTGTAAAATGTAAATGTAAAACTTATTTTTCTTAATAACAATTACTATTACCACTAGTTTTATTCTTTCCAATATGTAACATTTGCGGTGTTTTTACCAGGTGAGATTGAGTATGTGTGTATGTTTCAAGGCTTTGTGTGTACAGTTTGATCGCCCTTTTTCAAGAATAAAGAATATGGATGGAACAATTGAGCGTTTTTCCTCTTCGTTTTGTACATTGTATACAGTCCCTTTCTGCTATTTTACATTACAAAATGTATAGGTTGCGATACAGCAAAGCTGACTGAAACACACATAAACTAGGCTACACTGTGTGTTCTCTTTTACATTTTAAAACAATTCGAACACAACCTGTTTTTTGTTGTTATCCTAACTCGTTATTGATCTATTGAAGTGTTTCGAAGCTGAATCTGTGACAAATGTCAAACGTCCAACCAAATTTATATGGGTTTTAGAACCATATCATTTCCATTTACTACATAATACTAAAATTAATTTCCGTCACTCAGACGCAGCAAAAATGTTTTCATGTTTTCATAACATGCGATTTACAAAACTAGTTCCTATTCGTATAAAGTGAGCATGCACTTGAGTCGCAAACATGTTTACAGTGTTTTATTTCTGGATTCAGTGAGTCGGTGACTGGAGAACCGCTCGGATCGATTCAGTTCGAATCGTGAACGAACTCCACAGATTTATAAAAAGATCCAACACAAATAAAGGTTTAGATTTCCATTTCGAAACTGACATAGCTATTTAAAACCTTTACGGACCAAATTGCTTTCTTAAATCACTTTCTGGCTCTGTGTGGAGTAACATAGTTCCTGAACCAAAGATTGACATCTTAAGATATGACCTCTCGTAGAGTTAAACTTCCTCAAAATAGTGCGTGTGACTAATTGAGTGACTTTCTGTTGCTATTTCGTGACTTACCTCCGTATCTTCATCTATGCTGTCTCTGTCGAGTTCACCAATGTAGTACTGCTCCATCCACCTCCGGGCGTTCTCCGAGTGCCGGTGTGGGGGTCCTTCGATCTCCCGGCTGACGTCCTTGCCAGAGCGGCGGAGAATGAGCGCCTCTCCGCCCGGGTGCATCCGGAGGAACCCCGTCACATCGTAAACGCGCGTCCCTAACAACACCCAGCACGAATCCTTGGTGCAATGTTTGGATACCTCCTTTTCGGAAAAAAAGCGAGGGGACACCGAAGGCGACATTTTATTATTCATTTAGGGGTGTCCACAAGGTGATAGAGAACGGTAGGCACGCAGGTGGGACCCCCACTGACTTTCTCCAGCGCTCGTGGACTACAACTACTGACTTTCGACTTCGAGTCCGAGCAGAGTTCAACTTCATACCCAGCCTGCTCATTAAGCATCTCATGAATAATTCATGACGCAGTCACTGCTGATCCGAGCACCTGTTGCGCGTGCCGACTGCAAGAGCGTGCAAAAAGATGTACATGCTGAGTTTGTGTCGTTTTTCTAGTTTATAATTCACACAAAAAGTCATTTTATGATTTATTTTCTAAAAAAAAATGACACTAATGCCAAAAGTTAACTCGTCACGTAAACTATCGATACTTGCTCAGTGTACGTCCTCCTTGTGGGCGTTGTTGGTGTCACACCCCTGTCGCTGTGTTTGCACACAGGGCGCGACTCAAACAGGCTGTCAATAGCGTTTTATGGCACTGTGAGACGCGACTCGATCAGTGCTATTTTTTTAGGTTTTCATTTAACTTAAGACGCAGATAACCCGCCTTTGACTAAAAATAAAAAAAAAGCGCTGCTGGTTTCCCATACTGGATGTTTTTAAATAGCAGGACAGTTTTATAATTAGATTTCTAATTTCCTGTACTTGATATTGATGTAATGTGGAATATAAATGAGATTGAATGCCTTTTAAATATGATTGTTTATTTTTGAGGTTTACTTCACCCGCGCAACACACACTTACGTCCACGAGCCACATCAGTTGAACAAACATAATATAAATATAAAACAAATAATAATAATAAAACAGACAGAAATTAGTATAGATGTTATAGGAAATGAACATAAGTATAAAACAGTGATTGATTAATGAAAGTTAGTTTGGTCACTGTTCTACTCAGATTTTGTTTTTAACAAATTAAGTAGTATGAATAACCTAAAATCTTTTATAACCTAGTTTTTGCCTTTTACCATCACAGCACCATATAAACTCTAAAATTACTACTAAGTTCTACTCAGATTTTGTTTTTAACAAATTAAGTAGTATGAATAATCTAAAATCTTTTATAACCTAGTTTTTGCCTTTTACCATCACAGCACCATATAAACTCTAAAATTACTACTACTAATAATAAAGGAATTTCCCCACTATACTTTTAATGTCTATTTAACTCTTCCAGTGTTGAGTTTTTATTTATTTATTTTTTAGGGCATCACAGTTTCGTCTCAGGGTGGCAGTATTGCTAAGGAAATGTTTAACGTTTTCCAAGTTTTTACAGAAAATACATTAATTTACTAGAAAATCTTACATATATTTAATCTAATATTGTATGTAAAGCAAGCTTAAATAGTACTAAAATTACCCAAATTATAAATCCAATTATAATAGGCTAATATTTGGAATCAGAAGTTCTTGTGTTTTATAAATTACACAAGTATTGACAGTCAGAGTAAGGTATGGCAATATCAGTGATGATAGTCAATGTACTGTAGACTATGATGAAGGGTGACTTAATAAAGGGAGGAGCAAGGAAACAGGAAGAACATTTAGTGGCTGTTGAAATTTGCACTGAGTGGTTACTAAGAGATTTATTACAGCTCCATATATGACACTGAACCATACAAATTTACAGCTTGGGAGAAGATAAAGAGAGGAGGAGAGTTCAGAGAGCTCTGCTCCATATTGCATGATCAAATAATGTCCAAAGTAACACCAAAATATAAAATAATAATATCTATTCCAAACTTTTTTCTATTGAATTTATTTAAGATTATGGTAGGGTTGGAAATATTATCATGATCATTTCTGCATAGGCCTAATTCAACAATTTTCACTCACACATTTTGAAGGTTGCAGATCTAGCCAAACGTTTGTTTGATTACTTGAATTTGCTGGTAAAGCTGGTAAGGCCTGTCTGGAGGTTTTTGAAGGCGATGATTGATTTTCACGAAACTACTGACAGTTAAACAAGGCAAAAAAGCTGTGGCTGTCCAAGTGTGCCTGCAAACGTATGACAGCACAGATGTGATGGTGTCATTTTAGATAATGAACTGAGTTGTACGTCTTGCTAATACTGTGTCTAAGACATCGCTTCTCATTTTCACTGGTGGATGCTAAGAAATTTTAGTTCATTTAAAATGGTTACCATGTAAGTAGGATTCATTTAAAGGTTCTTTTACTGGGTTTTAAAGTACTGAATGCACTAATACTAATGCATTTTTGACTGTCTGTTCAAATGTGATCCAAATCATTGTATTAAATCTTTTCATTTATTCATTTACACGATACAACGTAAAAAAAAAAATCATCAAAATATCATACTTTTATTTATTTGTTTGTTTGCTTTTCCGTTTGTTTGCTTTTTTAACCATCTGTCAAAATGTGATCCTAATCTACTAATAAGTAGTTTTAATTCTTTTATTTATTTCCTTACTTACTTCATGCAAAGTATCACGCTGTAAGCTGGTGAACCTATTTTTCCAAAAGCCATTAATTCCTAAAAATAAAAAAGGCAATTAAAATTAGACAAGCTCAGAATATTCACATTTAAAAACAAACCAACAAAAAAAAACTTCTGTAGATCTTTTAGTTTCTGGTTAATATAGGCCTGCTTTATGCCACTGTATTCCATTTTTATTTTGTTTCAATTTCTGAAAGTAAAGTGATTTATTGATTAATTGAGTTTATTATTATTATTAAGTTGGCTTGAAAAAGCTCTATAATACTATTTCTAAGCTACTGAGACTCATCCAAACTCTGTCTATTTAAAAGGTTTTTAATCTATCTATTAAAAACTAGTAAATTAAAACTTAACTATTTCAAACTGAAAAACTTTAAAATTCAAGCTTTTAAAACTACTTCAGACTTTCTGGCAACCTTAAAGTTTGTAGTTCATATTTTTGTCGTGTTCTTTTTTAAAGTTTTCATACTTTGACATAGGAAGCGTTTTGAACTGCATTTATATGAAAGATGCTACTATACATACATTTATTTGTGTCCCAAAGATTAACGCCATTCATTCATCAACCCCTAATCATTTTCATGTTTTTATCAAATTCTCTTTCATTCAAATACCCATCTATGAGCTAAACACTAATAAACACACACGTAACCCATGACCCGTTGTCATGGTATAGCAGCGTCATTGTCAGTAAAGCATGAGCTGTTTTAATTTATGTTTGTAGGCGACACAAAGCTTTTCTCCCAGGAGCACGTCAACCAATTCATAGCATGCATTGTTTTTAGAATGCTCCTTTGTTCTCTCCTACGGGATTCTAAATTTACCCACCAGAGACAAAAGGTAGCGTGATAATTAACTGCATGTCACTGCTGCCGAGGTCCTGAAACACGAGACACCCTCTGCCCATTGTTGTGTCCAGTTTAAAGCAGTGGCGGAGTGACATCACTTGGTGATGTCAGGTTCAGAGGGAGGAACTGGACCACAGGAACCCTGTGATTGGTCACATCATGTGGCACCTGGGAAGACAGCAGGTATAAGGGATGAATGCTCGGTCAAGGCAGGCAAAATTTTACACATAATTCTGCAGCATCCCTTAGACGCCCCGAACTGAGTTGGTTACCATGGCAACTGTTGTACCGGTGAGTATATGGAGATTAAGAGTGCTTTTTTGTATTGTAGATGAATTGATGATTATTCACTTTTAAGAACTTAAGATGACTTCACACATGGCTGGAGTTCAATAGCAGATGGTCCAAACAGAAGAAACATCTTCTTGTGCTGCACTCCTGAAATTATTTTGGTGAAATTTGGAAGACAGATTTTGATTTTAGATTAATTTAAAAGATGTCTTGGTGCTTTCACACCTGGCACGTTGTTTCGGAACCTGGCGCGTTTACCCCCTTTAGCTCGGTTCGTTTGGGCATATGTGAACACGGCAATCGCGCTCGGATCCGCGCCAAAACAATCGGTCCGAGATCGCCTGAACGAGGTGGTCTCGGCTCGATTGAAAACGAACTCTGGAGCGGTTCGGTTGTAGTGAGAAAGCAATCCGATCTAACGGACCAACGAACCAGGCTATATCACAATGTATAATGGGTAACGTTAATTACGTAAATTCCGTGAAAAGCATTAGCTTTGTTGTTTTGCTAATACCTCAAAATGAACCCGTGAAAGTCTGTGGGTGAGCACGTCTCCTCCATTCAAAATCAAAGCGCACTTTTTCATTTTATAATGCCGTATTATTGCTCTTCTTCGTAGGTGCATTTTAAAAATGTTTTCCCGATCAATCCTGGACTCCTGCTCAAAATGATAAATTAATATAACGACAGCTACAAAAAAAATAAAAATTAAAAATAAGCCCGCAAAGCTGTTGTCGTTGCATCTTGACGGATGACAGCCGTGACCGCTAAGTGGAATCCTGGAAAATAACCCGTGAAACTTTGACCAATGAGAGAACAGTTTACTCGCGCGTGACTTGTATTAACAAATTTGGTCCGTTTAGAAACTTTGCCGTTTGAAAGCGAACCGCACCAAGAATAAAAAGCAACATTGTAATAATTTTAATCCCTGTTTCTGAACAAAGCAAAGGGATTATTATTATTTATTTATTTATTGCTATTGATTACAGTAGTGTCTTTGGTGGTGATACTAGTGAAATAAAATACATGCCTTGGATCACTTAACATGATGAATCTTATTCTCAGTTCAGTTAGTTTGAGCTTTCTTTGTTCTAGACTGGGTCATGTTCTGTCAGTGCTATTGGTGTGGATGTATCATGTCTGTGCTCTGGGCCGATCAAGTGTCAAGTAAAACAATCTGTGTGTCTTCAAGCTTGTTGAATAGAGTCTGTGTGTGTGTGTGTGTGTGTCATGGCTTTGGTTTCTTAGGATGTAGTTAATTAATCGTGTTCTTGGGTTGAAACCAGTAGCTTGGTGAAAGACTTGTTATCAACTGGTTGATTGATATAAAAGGTCTCCAAATCTTGATTTCAAGCAAAACAATTCTATATCCTTGTTCTTGTTTTTCTTTCAGTGTGCTTCCTGCTATGGCAGCAGCAGTGTTCAGCTCTTTGGGAGGGGGCCTGGTGGTGATTACATGTCCCTTTTCAGTTACAGAGGGCCCAGAGGAGCCCCTCGCCCACGTCTGGCCTGCC